TTTTGTTGAATATCTATTGTGTATGCTTTCACTGAAAAATGTTAAATGTAGATTAAATTCCGTATCATAAGTTATCTTGGCCTGAAAATTTCCTGCCATACCTTTATAAAATCCTGTGCACAACAAATAGTACCTTTGTCGCTATAATCGTGTCCATACTCATCACGCATTTCATTAGATGCTCGGTACCACACCGTATCAGTTGATTCCCTCATTTTCTGGATATTATAAATCTCGGTTTTAAAGCAACCCGGCATAATCTCTATCACATTCACCCCATATGGTTGTAGTTCATGCCTTCAATTCATTTTCTAAACATTTGCAAACTTCATCTGGAGATTTTAAGATCCAGTTGAATTTGAAATGATGCAAAAAATTAGTAATTTGTTACCTAATAACCATACTGTATGCCTGAATGGCAAACTTTGAGCATGTATAAGGACCATGGTTCGCTAACGGAAACAATGTGATGGCACTGCTACATATCACTATTCGACCTCTGAGATTTGTTTTTCAGAAGAAAGGCGCGAATGAAACGAAATTTAGGATAATTAATAATACATGGTAATGTGAAACTCAGTTTTGGTAGCAAATATAAAAGGAAGAATGAACGGAAACAGATTCATATCACAATTATGGCCTATCTTTTAAGATAAAATAAATAGCTTCAAAAAAGCTTATTAAATATACGAAATGATTGAATTTCACAGAATGGACAAAATTCCTCGAAACCATTCGTGAATGTCTGAAAATTCACGAATTATCTGCAAAGGTGGAGAAATTAGAGCGAGGTTACGGTTATAATTGGAAGCTGATAGTAAAATCAGCATCGAGCATCGAAACCCCAATCAATATTTTAATCCTGGAAATTATTCATAATTTCATAACTGTTCTTTGATGAATCGTCAAGCATGCAAAAATGTATTATTATAACCTGGACTTCTTAATAAGGTCACGAAATGTTTGTGTTACTCGTACCGCGCCAAGTGTATTCACTTCTAATACTTCTTTATAATCATCCGAAGTCAAGAAATCGTCGGGAAAAAAGTGGCCTTTAATACCAGCATTATTGACCAAAGCGTGAAGAACTGGAAAAATTACTTCTAACAAATGCATCAATTCTTGTTTTAAATTTTGATGCTTAAGCGCTATTTTTGTATACTTATGACCAGATTTATACCTTTTTTCGTTTTTTTTTTTTTTTGAATCATTCTTTGCATTGACATAATTAACAAAAAAATATCAGTATAGCTTTAAAGGACTTCTTGGATTTCATCTCATCGAATTTTAGTTTATCGAATACTTTGGTGGTCAAAATTACTTGGCAAATAAAATTAAAGGACAATTCATAGTGTCTCCTCGCAGTGATCATTTCAAACCATTTGGACAAAAAATTCAATTATCTCAAGAATTAGAAAGATTTTTTTCTTAAAAAAATAGCTCATATCAGGAATGCGAACCAAGATTCTTTTCTTTTAAGACAGTGTCTACGATTTTTCGGGATTTCCGAACACTCTCGTCATCAGTTACATCCATCTGAAATGCATACAGTCGACCTTGATTGATTGAGCTGTAGCGTTCTTCCAGTTCATTTATATTCTGCAATTAGGTGCAACTGATGATGGAATTTTATAAAATATTCCTAATTTTCTTTTATGAACTCTTCCTTACTTCGCCGTCCCTTACACTTCTGAAACTTTGCGAGAGAGTTTGTG